CCAGGAAGCCATCAGCCAAATATGAAGATTCTATACCTTTTAGTTCTTTAGAAGAAGTCGTTTGAAGTTTTTGACATATTTGACCCCTGTGACCTTGAAAACAGGTCAAGGTCATTTTCGTTCCCAAACTTTGTAGGGCTCCTACCAACGAAGCTTTCAGCCAAATATCATGACTCTAGGCCAGTCCGTTCTTCAGAAGAAGTTGTTTAAAGGAAAGGTTGCCGGACGAGGACGGACGGACGGACGGACGGACGGACGGACGGACGGACGACGGACGCTGCGCCACGGCATAAGCTCGCTTGGCACTTCGTGCCAGGTGAGCTAATAAAAACTAAGGGTACCCGATCGATAGCACAACCAGAGAGCTTATCAGATAAACACGCACTCGGGAAGAATGTTCTGATGACCAATCTACCAGGCGAGAATACTGCAAAATAAGAAATAAAGTTAGAAACCCGACATGGAAAATCAGAACAAATTTTGAAAAGAACCTGGCAAAAAATTACCAAAACTATGTGGTGATATAAAAATCTAAACTAAAAGGGTAAGCGACGACCTCTACATCGAATCCACACATAATCAGTCGACCAAAAAAGTGGTTACAGATAATGAAAAAGCAAATGTACTAGCAACATCCTTTCAGAGTGTTTTTAAATAAACCGCAACTAACGGTGAGATTTTAAGAATAGAAATGTTGGTACTTTTGTTACCAATATTAGTTGATAAAGAACAAATAAGTAGACAACTCTAAGGGTTAATTATTGACAAGTCCCAGGGACCTGGTGGTTTACATCCACATTTCCTTAGAGATACTGTAGATTCCATTGCAATTCCGTTTGCACTATTGTACAATATTTTAATCACTTTTGGAGAAATACCAAACGATTGTGAAACAAGAGTACCGCGGGGCGGAACAATATACGCCCGTCGAATGCCATATAGTGTTATATACTTTCTTACATTGAAATAAGATCTGCATCATTCAAAGAGTGGTTAGCCGACATGCTATAAAAATGTAGGAGAAAATCTCCAGATAAAAAAATCAAATACTGAAATGAACAAAGGGCAATAACTTTTGCAAAAATTATCGAACCAAAATTCATTTCAATGAGACACAACAACATATCATGATTATTTAGCCTACTAATTTTCAAAGAGATCTGTAGAAAAATGTAGGAGGAGATTGCCGGACAAACAAAAGTTTACGCCGGACGGACGGACGGACAACGCCATATCATAATACTCCCGTCAAATATGACGGGCGTATACAAAGGCTAAAGTTACTGCTTGTACAAGAAAGGCGATAAATGTGCACCTGAAACTGAAGACCCATCAGCTTTACATCCAGAGTTTGTAAGGCAATGGAGACGATCTTGACGAGACGGTAAGTTGATTATTTGAAGCAAAATGAGTTATTTTCGCCGAAGCAATACGGATTTGTTCCAGGCAGGCAACTACTCTATAACTAATTAAAGTACTGGACGAATGGACAGATACATAAGATCAAGGTTTATCTATAGAATGCATCTATATGGACTTTCAAAAGGTGTTTGATACCGTATCACATAAAAGATTATTAAGTAAAATGTCATCTGAGGTAACCGTATAAAGCTAAGCATATTGACATGTTGGAAAAGGTCAAAAGAAGGGCAACGAAACAAATACTGGGATTTATAGATCTGTCATATCAGGAACGGCTTAAGACTAAATTTACCTACTTTGAGCTTCAGACGTGCAAGAGGTAATATGGTAGAAGCATTAAACATAACGAGTGGAGTATGATCGAAAAGCGTTAGACTTTCTTAAATTGTGGCAGGACTATTCCGAAAGACAAGGAGGCATTCCAAAAAACTCTATCCACAACATTCAAACATTGACATAAGGAAGATTTGTTTATCTCTACGAGTAGTAAAATTATCGAACAGTCTTGCAGAGGATTTGATAGCAGCAACATCAATAAACATTGACCAGGAACTGAAATAAAATTACAAAGGTAAGTTTCTGTCGTAAGATTAGCTCATCAGAGCTAAAGTTTCATGTTACATATATACGACACAAAATAAAGTAGCTTGTATCTTGTACGGTAACTGAACTTTCATATTATAGGTGTATTTGTACATATTTTTGTTTTGAAAACATGTCGTCTGGTGGCCGGTGTTAGGAGTCATACAAATCATGTATCAGAAAATAAACTGAACTTATTTTCCAACCACATTCGGTATGAAGCTATTTCATTGACTCTTTGTAAAGGTCACCTACAGATGACCTTGCTAGTATAATTACAGGGTTACCTCCCCTTAAGAGGTTACCTCCCCTTAAGGGGAGATCTAAGCACAGATGTATTGTAGGTCATCTCTGCCTTATTATCTGATATAAACATTCGCACTGAAATAAAAGACATTTCATGGAACACCATCCTCCATTTTTATATAAATAACTACACTTTACAAAATCATTTACAGTTTTATTTTTACTAAACTTGAATTTAATCCAGCTTACACCATCATCCACAGTCAACAACACACGTTAACAAGTATCATTAACAACACTCTTAAAAAAGTCATCTCAAAATATGATTATAAATGTTCAATTCTTGGTTCTGTCATACAAATGAAAATGAAAGGATACAAATATATGCATTTGCTGAAATGGTACTCTTGAAATCTATTCTTTCCTGACAACTTTTCACTTCAGAGAGAATCTCTACTATTGATTTTTGATGAAAATGAATACATGTATCAGATTGTTTAAAACGGTGGTCAAAGACAAAGGCTTTATGCTACCTATGCTTACATAACTCTCCAATCCAAAAGAGCTCCACAAATGAACTTCAACATGAAGTAATGTGTATTTTATTAATGAGATGTTGACACATTTGAATGTTCAAATGAATGCATGCCTTGATAATACTAAGTGATTATGTTAAGTTATCCCATTTCATTTGGATTCTCAATTTTTTCAGATTGTGAACCAAATATCCCAATGGTTTTCTAACATAATCAGCAAAAATCTACTTATGTTTCAAAAGTACTTTTCTTACTCTAGAACTACATATACAAAACTGTTTGCTTGTAAAACATTGAACCGAAAGTGTAATTATAGTGTAGAGAATTGTGGCCATACTGTTGTGTTTTCATTTTTAATAATGTTCGCAATATCTATTTTTGCAATGAATCCAGTACAGAATGAAGCGAATTTTAATGTTTATTAAGAAAAGTGGTTGACCAACCTTCAATTGACAGTATTGTATAAAGGAAAAAGAACAATGCTACAAATGCAAGTTCCTTGTTATAAATGTTGTTAACATTAAATGTTAAAGAAGCAAATATTACATACTGTACTACAGGACTGTGTCTATTCAAGAGTTAATATAAACACAGCTGAACACACTCATTTAAATGTCTGTGCTACAGGATAAGACCTTGACATCAGAGATATGACCTGGGGTCAAAGGTTGCAGTACACCCTTGGGTCGTTGGTAAAAATGCTGTGGAGTATAGCAAGACCAAGCCAAAGGGCTGATGGCCCAGATACCCACTTTAGATATCCATTCCATACTTCATGGCTTTGAATTTTGATTTTCAAGGCATCTCATCATAATACATTTTACTTTTTCATCCTCCACACAAAATGCTTTTTCAAAACACTTAATTTTCCTCGCCTGCTTTGGACAGTATAATAGTCTGGCCTTTACACAATATTCCTATTTATCCTTTCAGTCTGTCATAAAAAATTAAACAATTCGTCCTTCAGAAAGTTTTCACAACTTTTGGACAGTTCAATAATTTGTTTATCAGGACCTCCATAGAAAGTTTTAACTTTCCTATGACAGTATCATAATTGTCTTTCAGAGCCTCCACAGGACGTTCCACTGCCTATGGACATTATAATAATTTATCCCTCAGGGCCTCCATAGAAAATTCTCACTGCCTTTGTGACGTTATGATAATGCATCTTTCAGGGCCTCAGCAAACCTATGGACAATATCCTAATTTGTTCTATAGGCCCTTCTTTAGGCTCTAAATAACATAATAATTAGTTATTCATGGCCTCCATTGAAAGTCTTCACTTGCCTTGGGGCTGTCTTAGGACTGCAAGGAATGTTCACACTTTGGGCAATATTAAAAACATTGCTTTTAGGCCCTTCACAAGTTCTCACATTCCTTTTTGGCAACATCAGGCCCTCTGTAGAAATCCCTCATTTGCTTTTAGGGGTCAAACAGTTACCATCAGGATACCTGTTGCGGAACAGTTTGACAACATCTGGATCCTTCAGTCTCACACCCTCCACCTGGTTACCTAGTGTTATCCTGTAACAAAAGACAATTCACTTATATGGACAAGGGGAAATGAAACAAGTTAGGTCTTTAATAGTTTGTACATGTATTAATAATTCCTAGTTAATAAGACCACCATAATGAACTGTTAGTATTCACCAATCATCATATCCTTAAACATAAACATGTATGTTATCTTACACATTATAATGGTGTTTTGTGTTGCAGTTAAGGTTATATTGTACCTAACAAAACTATACCTGTGATTTGGTTTAGAGTTAAGCTACCTTACAAAATTATACATGTGATATGTGTTAGAATTTAGGTTATATGCTACCTACAGAATTATGCATGTGATTTGTGTATATGTTAAGGTCATATGCTATCTCACATAACACATGTATAGAAATAAGCATACATGATATACCTAACACATTAAGTGTGGGATCTAAATTACTTCTCTTGAAACAAGGTATTTCTCACCTGTTTCTTTATGATGTCAACAAAATATATTTGAAGCTGAACTTCTAATAACAGCTAATCAAGAGGCTATCGTGGTCATATTGGATTTTGTCATTTTTCAAACAAACTTCAAATGTTGAATTTGAAAGCCCTTCATTCCAGGCCAAATATATTACTCTACTCTAGGCTACTCTAGACAAAGCATTTATTTCAAAGAGTTGATAACTTCTCTCAACACATTTGACCCCTGTGACCTTGAATGTTGGTTAGTCATTTACAACAAAAAATACAGCCCTTTATTCATGCAAGCTTCAGGCAAACACAATTACTCTATGTTTCATTGCTTATAAGAAGCAGTCATGTAATTTTTACTGTCATTGTGACCTTGAATTTGGGTCAAGCAAACTGTGGATAATGAAATGTGATAAAAACCTTTTATAAATATACAAAATGAAGGAAGCTGGAGAATGTGAGATTGGAAGAGGCTATGAATTCATAAGAACGCCCTTCCTCCTATTACAACTATCATGATAAAAAGGTCACCGCTACTGAAGGGAATATAGCTCACCAGTTTGGCTGCACGTTATGTGGCCGTCCAAACAGTTCCACTTTCCTGGTTCCTGGAGACAGTCTCTCAATGATGCCATATATCTCATCCGGTTTGTGGCTGGTGGCACGCACCTATAGATTAAACAAAGGGCACTAACTCACAGTATATCCCTTCGTTTTTGTGAATGTTAATTTTGTACGTTTAATATTTAAGTACACTTGTCAGATTACAGGCACACTCCTATATATTTTATAAATGAAAACTTTGAAGATCAAACATTATCTTTTATCATATATATACTTTATCATATACGGAAAACCTCCGGTCAGTTGGAATCGGCGGATAGTTCGAACACATATTTTTTTTTATATATACTTTTTTTTCGCATAATAAATATACCTTTCCATTACATTGCATTCAATATTTTCACTTATTGCCTTAAATTTGTTCATACATTAATTGAGATTTAATTCCTAACCAATCACCTTATAGTGAAAAATTACATTCAATTGAACTCTGCCATGAAGGTAACACATGCTTCATATCAAACAGGGTCACTTACATTATAAATAGGCAATACCACATATGTATTCATCTGATGTCTCAGACTACATGAGGACATTGTGCATATGGATACATTTCAGAAGGGCTTTTAGCTCAGTAATAGTCAAGACCAGTTGTAGACAGAAGATAAACAGGTGTGGTATTGCTTTAATCACATACCTAAAACTGTTCCTATTTGCATATTATACTTTCTTCAAATCATTTCTCATCAGTACCATGTATTAATGCTCAATTTGCTTCCTGAAAATTTAAACGTTTAAAACAACGGTGGACAAAACTACACCAAAGATGGGATAATGATGCTATCTTACTGTAGTATAAAATGGCACTAAAATGGAAACCATCATTGTTTTAATTAATTGATTTGGTCAGTATATAACAATCGATGAATTCCAGCCATATAGGAGTTCAGGCCGATGGGGTAATACAACATCTTGTATAACCACAGTGGGAAATACAGGACCTTGTATTACATAGCCTGAAAACTGTCTGTATCACTGTAGTAAGATTCACAAGATATGTACTTAAGACGTGCCAGATTTTGGCAGTGGAGGAATGCTAGAGTACCTGGAGAAAAGCCACTTGCCCCATGTAGGCCTCAAACCTAAAACCCAGTGGCAGAGGGTAGGTGATCTTGACTGTCAGACACCTTAACCACTTTGCCTCCGTGGCCCTCCACCCAAGTGGGGAACGTGTTATATTGCACATGTAAACATTCAAACAGCTGTTTTCTGTGGATAATTACCTCGGCCACAATGACATCACAATCCAGTCCTCTGTTAGCTCCCTGGGGGTTTCCCTTTACACCCACCTGTGATTAATAAATGTATATATACATGTATAGTTAAAACTGAACAGGCAAACCAGATAGAGTAGGACATTCCAGCCAATACATTAGGACCTGTCTTTAAAGACCACCTCTAGCCAATATATTCAGACTTGTCTGAGACCACATATTCAGCCAATACAGCAGAGAAGTCTTTAAGAGACATCATCTTCTGTCAAGGTTGTAGGACATGCCATTCTGTGTTTCCGGCTGGGTCATAATTGGAATGAAACATGTGTGTACCAAACTAAGACAAGGGGTTTGAAGGTCTTTGCCGTTTGTTGGCTAGTTCCTAACAAAATATAAATAATTACAATACAACTAAAGTAGGCATTTTAGTGACAGAAGGACAAGACTGACAAAGTTGGAATCCCAGTTTACTGACAGGCTAGGTTTAACACCTTTCAGGACAACTTGTGTCAAAGCTGACATTTTGGATGTGCAAAAGGAGTGATGACATATTGGAATCACTGATGGCAAACTTCAGAAAGTTTTACTATTTTCACATTAACTTTATGACATAAGATTGAAATAAATAACAACTTCTATTTTCTCAACCATTAGTTTTTCTTCTTGATGAACCTTGATATGCCCTTGATGGATTGCTAGTGTGCCCTAGTTAATTTCAATTATTAAGGAAAAAATACATTAGGTTACCACATCAGTACAATTAAACATAATGGCTCCCAACTTCAGTTTGATTCTATAAATGATTTGCATTGTGTAACTTTCTTTACTCATAGCTATAGGCTGGTCTGTTAAATAAGGAGATTTCTTTTTTAAAGGCCTAATATAAGTTGCCATAATGTATCCAGTTTTTTAAACTGAATAATCATCAACATTTTGCTTTGTTATGAAAATTATGCGTAAACATGGGCCCATATTTTTTCATAAAACCAAATCACATTTTTTTTTACCAGAATAATGTTTCGAACAACAATTTTGCTTGGAATCTATCGACCCAAATATGTGACAGTCACAATAGTCATACGTTGAAATGACTTCAATATGATAGCCTGGCTGACTTTAACTATCCTCTAGTTATATAACATACAGTGTGACCTTGACCTAGTGTTCTACTGACCAGACAGTGCTCCTTGCCATGGTTAAGCCAGTGACCAGTACGTCCAGTCCGGATGATCCTCTGTAGCTGGTTTGTTTTCACCCAGATCACCTCATCAACACGTTTGTACCTGTGGAAATGTAACTGTAGGTTAAGACTATATACTACCTAACCATGATATGTATCTCCATTCTAAAAGAGTTCAACATAAAGAAATCTGTAACATGTTTTCATGGAGATTGATAATAAATTAATTAATAATTCTTTTGAAAATTATGATTTAAATTCAACCATTGACTACAATCTGAATTAGGTATTCATTAAAAGATTTGAGGGAGAAACCTCTTAACACAATCCCAGGTATACTGGTAGTTTAAAGGAGCTGATTCCCCTAAGTATAGGTTTGTGTAGGCAAAAATTACTTGAGACCACAGGGTCACTTTGTAAGATATGTGATATACTTTAGAATTCTATTTCTTTACTTGTGGTTTTATTTTTATTTAGAAAAAAGACAATATTCCAACAGGCTTGATAAGTTCTACACTATCCAAATTCATAACTGATAATTTCCAAGATGGCAACTATCTTCATGTTTCATTATTTTAATAATTTGGTTTAATATGTATTTTTTTTTTTTAAATAAATGGGCTTCCCAATTATTAAAGAGTAGAAATTTCTGCATTAATTTGTGAGGAATGAAGATTGTGAATAGAAAGATTTCCATGAAATTTATCCAAGGAAAAATCACTAATAAGTAGCAGTTCTTGTAGGTCAGCAATGACTATTCTACTTTAATTTAAATCAGTTGGAATTTCTACTTTTCATACTGAAATAAAGATGAAGTTATGGTACTCACCCCCACAAGTCAAGGCATTCCCGACCCAGCTCCATGGCCCTGTGAACAAGGGAAATAGAATTTTAACTACTACCTGTGGAATAAAATATTCCAAGCCTGGGCGAAGTGAGTTGTTCAAATTTCGAACATTTTCCTCATCAACTTGTTAAACTTAACATACCAGTATCTATATAGAGATTCGGGTCAAAAAATCAGATTTTACAAGATGAAAATACTGAATGGAGAACCCAGATATGGGTATCAATCTACATCAAGTAGCGTAGACCAACCCTCAACTCAAAGTCTGGACAAGGGTAGCTACTGCCAACTAGATTACATTCAACGGAACAACCTACTGGCCATATATCACGAATCAAGGCCTCAGGATTCTGTAGAAGTTGGTTTAAGGGAAAGTTGATGAAAAATGGCTGTCAGACACCACAACATCACATACTACCCGTCAAGTTAGCTAAAAACAATTTGTGAATTTTAACATTAATTTCCACTTCTCCATTTGGATGAAAACATGACAAACCTTCCAGTGACCCAAAGGAAGATGAATCCATCATCCTGGAGACCTGGAACATCTAGCTTTCTCATCTCATCATCCGACATGGTCCCGTATGGCAGCTCCATGTGGATATCCCAGGGAGGGTCAGCCATCACTACAGCACACTTCCCCAGAACGGTCATGTCAAAGAAACGCAGATCACACTGCACCCACTGTGGATAATAACAAAATACTGATACAACCTTATTGCATGGCTAAATTTAAGTTTGTATGGAATCAGCCAATGGAAGCTATGATGGGGAAACGAGAAGATAAACAGGGAGTGAGAAGATGGAGAGGTAGAGGAATGTTGGGAGGAGAAAAGTAGACAATAGGAGAGAGAAGAAAGGCAATGGTCAAGGAGAGAAAGAATAAGTAAAGACAAGAAAGACTGACTAGTGATGGTCAGAGGAGATTATTGGTTTGACTACGCATTTCTTAAGAAACGGATGAGGGGAAGAATGAACTAACCTGAGGTGGATAAAGCACATCTCCAGAGTCCAGTCCCTTCTTGGCCATGGCTAGTGCGTCTTTCTTTAGGGCATCAGTAGTACTGACCGCTGGGTAATCAATCTCATAGTGGACGTACTGAAGTACCAATATAAAGCAAATTATAGAATTGGCTACACCAACTTCCTACTTAAGTATTGCATACAGCTTTGATTTAATGAGGTGGGGTTTTGACGATGATGTGAAAGAAAACAAGCTACTGCAATCCAGGAATAAGTGCGAACAACACTGCAAATCTCTTCCAAACGTCGGAATTTATTGCAGTAAATTCCAACGTTTGGAAGAGATTTGCCGTGTTGTTTGCACTTATTCCTGGATTTTTACTCACTACTAGTGTAAACCGTTGTGGTATCCACATTACTATCAACCAAGAAATTGAAGAAATTCCAGTTATCTAGGACGTTACATACAGCATTATATAACTCTGTATACATTACTATGTAACTCTGTATACAGCATTATCATAGCTATAGGCTGGTATTAGATAACCCTGTATACAGCATTATATAACTCTGTATAAAGCATTATATAACTCTGGATACAGTATTATATATCTCTGTATACAGTATTATGTAACTATGTCTACAGTATTATATAACTATGTATACAGTATTATATAACTCTGTATACAGTATTATATAACTTTGCATACAGTATTATATAACTCTGTATACAGCATTATATAACTCTGTATACAGTATTATATAACTCTGTATAAAGCATTATATAACTCTGTATACAGTATTATATATCTCTGTATACAGTATTATGTAACTATGTCTACAGTATTATATAACTATGTATACAGAATTATATAACTCTGTATACAGTATTATATAACTATGTATACAGCATTATATAACTCTGTATACAGCATTATATATCTCTGTATATAGTATTATGTAACTATGTCTACAGTATTATATAACTCTGTATACAGTATTATATAACTCTGTATACAGCATTATATAACTCTGTATACAATTTTATATGTCTCTGTATATAGTATTATGTAACTCTGTATACAGTAGTATATAACTCTGTATACAGCATTATATAACTCTGTATACAGTATAATATGACTCTGTATACAGGATTATATGACTCTGTATACAGCATTAGATAACCCTGTATACAGCATTATATAACTCTGTATACAGTATTATATAACTATGTATACAGTATTATATAACTCTGTATACAGTTTTATATAACTCTGCATACAGTATTATATAAGTCTGTATACAGTATTATATAACACTGTATACAGCATTATATAACTCTGTATACAGTATTATATATCTCTGTATACAGTATTATATAACTATGTATACAGTTTTATATAACTATGTATACAGTATTATATAACTCTGTATACAGTATTATATAACTTTGCATACAGTATTATATAACTCTGTATACAGCATTATATAACTCTGTATACAGTATTATATATCTCTGTATATAGTATTATGTAACTATGTATACAGTATTATATAGCTCTGGATACAGCATTATATAACTCTGTATACAGTATTCTATACCTCTGTATACAGTAGTTTATAACTCTGTATACAGTATTATATAACTATGTATACAGTATTATATAACTCTGTATATAGTATTATATAACTCTGCATACAGTACTATGTAACTCTGTATACAGCATTATATAACTCTGTATACAGCATTATATAACTCTGTATACAGGATTATATGACTCTGTATACAGTATTATATGACTCTGTATACAGCATTAGATAACCCTGTATACAGCATTATATAACTCTGTATACAGTATTATATAACTCTGCATACAGTATTATAAAACTCTGTATACAGTATTATATAACTCTGTATACAGCATTATATAACCCTGTATACAGCATTATATAACTCTGTATACAGTATTATATAACTCTGTATACAGCATTATATAACCCTGTATACAGTATTATATATCTCTGTATATAGTATTATATAACTCTGTATACAGTATTCTATACCTCTGTATACAGTAGTATATAACTATGTATACAGTATTATATAACTATGTATACAGCATTATATAATTCTGTATACAGTATTATATAACTTTGTCTGCTGGATAACCAACCTACTTGGTAGTGAAGTGTATGCAAAACCACTCTAAGAAACAAGTATTTATAACCTTGTCTACAGTAATCCAACTTATTGAAGCTATTAGTTAAGACTGACATAATAATGACATACAGTTACTATACAGTTGGTTAATTAATATTCACAGAATCATTGATAGATATGAGTTTAACTCCCTTTGTTCACAGAAACTTGTGTGTTGGACCTCAAACCAAGTCCTAATTGAAAACATGTACTGGCAACGTTTGATACTGAGGGACATTACCAAAGTAGGACAGATGTATGGGTGGACAGGCCCAAATTAATACTCACACTTTAGTGTAGAACAGTCACAAACACAAAACGCCCTAAATTGTTTAAATCTTGAAACATTATATCAATATCTTACCTTACAAGTATCCATGTGAAAACAGGTGTTCAGAAAGGAACAATCACCCAAAGACTCTACAAAATTATGATCACAAATCGTTTAAATTACATATTTAAGGAAAGATATCTATCAAGCTTTATGACTTCAACCAATCACATTTACACTAGATTGCATGACTTAAAAATCTCAACAAGTACACAAGGGCAAATAACTTTGAAATTTCAGCCAATCATAGTGCAGTATCTCATTATTTCATTGGACAAAATATGACACTGGTCACCTCACAACATGTAGGTTTAAGTGGTAAATGATAATTACCATCTGTGTGTTTGTGGATGATTTTCCTGAAGTGTAACTTCCGACACTGTTCCTTGGTCTCGCCAACTTTCTTACACTCCTCCCGAGTACCGTACTGACAAAACTCCTTCAACTGGGCACCTATTCAGCAAGAAATATACATTTATTTCTCTCTGTAAGTACACGTATACCGGGGGGTATATCTAAGATCAAACAATTGAATTTTAATCACATATGTGATAAATAACTTATCTTTAAGGAAGAGAGTTCAACCCTTTTTTTACTGTATATAGATATTGAAAATTACTTTATTTATACAATGACAATTAAAGGTTGCATGTCTTTTTAAGAATTTAGAACCATCTAAATCCACACCAAGTAATGGTGCAGAAAAGTAAACTCCCAAATGCCATCACCTGTAGCCCAGTGGATAAGCTCTTTATCTGAAGGTGGTGGGCTAACAATAAACAATACCAGTATGTGTACTTACCTCCTTGAGATTTAAACCTCTTCACTAAACTTTGTTCCTGAAAATAGATTTATAATTTTTTAATCAGTCTTGTATGATCTGAGAAAAAAGGAATAATGAATAAAGTATATGGCATCGTATAAGGAGGTTCAGTTCTTGATGGACACATCTCCTTATATAACTGTGACTTCCATCTACATGCACCTGAAGTCAGAGGATTTTAATTTTACACAGTACCTTGGCAGTAGGCTTTGTGAGCAAATCTAGGATTTCCTCGTTTAACTTCTTGTTTTCTTTCTCTTTTGCGGACTGCATCGACAGTAGACTCTGTGGATAAGAAACAATACTATCTATATTGACTGTAATTTGTAATCTGTTGCTGAAGGACCAGTGTTTTTTGAACATTTGTTCTTGTGCTGCCTTTGCAGTAATAGGTAAATGTATGCCAACACACTAATTTTGAAGTGTCCATTAACCAAACCCAAACTCAACTCTTATTCACTTGCTCAGTGCAAGGTTGCTAGTAGAAAACAATTAGATACAATTGATTGATATAAAAATATTTCTAAAATCAAAGCATTAAAAAGATTGAGGTAAATTTGTACCAACATGACATTCTTTAAGACTAAATACGGAGCAGAATATAGACTAGCAGCTGACGACAACTACATGTCGATCTAGGCTTACTTGATCACGTACGATCGTAGAGCACCGCCGGAATTTAGCAATTGATTTAGCTGCATATTTCAATGAAATAACAAATAGAAAGCAATTATTTCACGGTTAATAAAGAAAAAGATGTGTCAGTTACAAATATTTTTACTAAACGATTTTCTTTGTAAACTTGGACATTTAAATATGGTCACTTCCGGGTTTTAACATCTGAAATGTTCAGAAAAACATGTTTTCTCTTTATGTCATGCTCCAGATAAGATCATGTTTTCTGTTGACAAATGAGAAGTGATATTTAGCAAAATCTACTGTATTGAAATTTTCTGTGATTGGCACAGTTATCCAGAAGAAGGAAAACAGCTAGCACAAAAAAAAAGAACAGCAACTTAATACAATGGTTCTCTTTTTTCAAAGACAAAGCAAAAATTGCAGGTTGAAAATCATTTTTAGAAGTAGACTTTTTAGGTACTTGCTTTCAAATTTGCAAGTTGATTGATAATTATGTAAAATTTGACCTGTGATCTACCTCAATGCTAGTGTCCTCCTTCGCTTCCTTGTGTCTGGCATGTTTAGACGCTGGCTCTAGGCCTTCATCTGCATCACTGGAAAAGTCATCAGACAGAGAGACATATCAAAACAGCACACCATACAACTCTTCAATACAGCTGATGTTAATTTGTGATTTAATAACTTACAAAAATCTTTGATTAAGCAGAAAGTATTTCATGGCCTAAGTAAGTACCGTCTTACCAATATGTAATATTCTTGTTGTTAAGTGCAATATGACTTGTATGGGTTATGATATGAACTGTAATCATATTGGTCTTTACCAGTATATAGGGTTTTGAAAGCATTACAGGTCTGTGTATAATCCTTGTTTAACTTGTGTCTGACACATGTAGTTGATAGATATTGGAATCTGTAATGAACTCTCCTCAGGAATCTTAAGGGATAATCTGTACCTACCTGTCTCTGGCTCGCTTCCTGGTCCGGACTACTTCCCCTTTTACTGCAGACAACTGGAATTCAGAGTCACAAACATACAATATTTCGATAGTATGCATGAATGTATTTTATGTTTATTGGGGAGCTTAGTCTATCAAAATAAGAAAGGCTATTTTTTGGGCAAAAATGAATAATAATGGTGATAAGAAAATATCATATTATAAACTATATTATTTAATATTATTTTCTATGGAAAGTGATTCATCATGGGTAAAACTTTCAAAGAATAAACTATTTTTGATGAATGTGGACTATCTTATGTATGGCACAACCCAATAAATTCTGTTTTATGTGATTTCGGGTGCCTCGGTAGCCGTGATCGCTAACACGTTAGTTGTTATCCCTTCAATGGCACGGTGGTTTCCCCCCCGTGTTCCCTTAGCGGCGTTGTAATAAAAGCGCTACAGAGCTTATGTTTGTTATTGACAATGGACATGATGTTAAATAAAGATTATTCATATATATTTAATATTGGTAAATTTAGACACTAGCAGTGCTCAGTTAAGGCAGACTATAATAAGTACAAATTACCTTGGGGATATCCAGTGTGTTTACCAGAAGTCTACTTTTGTCAGATCCAATCTGATCTATGGATGTGACGCTGTAAAATAATAAGGAATTGGTGAGGACAGAGGGTACAATTGTTTGAAAAGAAAACTTCTGGTCATGAAAGGGAGCCAGGACCTTCTTGTTTCTCTGTAAGTCAGCCACCGAGTATGTACATGTATCAGTCTTTTGTTATACCTGTACAACATACTGCGCAAAACATTTTTCAGTTTTTTTTTGTGTGTGACATTGATCGGAACAATAACAACAATAATAAAATGAAAAGAAGCATTTCTAATTAACTCTACAAATATTTTTTTTATCGCAAAATATGTAACACATGTTACTCAAAGTGTTTTTTATTGAATTTGTACGGATAAAAGTGATTATCTACAAGCTAAAAGCACCCAAGACACAAAGTTCTATACATATAGAGCGGGAAATTGAACAAAATATACACAATGGCTTTATAATTAATTTATTTTACATTCTACAATCACTTCGATCCGGGTGAGAGTTATCTTCCTTGAAAAAAATCGGAACTTTTTGCAAAGGGGTGACATTTACACAATGACAGTTTTCTCTGTTTACATATAACAAAAATGATGGAAATAAATAAAAAATATGATATCAAAATTATCAATTTATTGTTCTTTAATGGAACCAAATTACCCTCAGTCATGTACACTTTGGACACATTCCACAGTCCGCTAACTCACGGTATATTTATAATTACATGTCAGGGACATATGTGACCAGAGGCTATCGCATGGTATGCCGTTCTCACGTGCACTCACACATGCATTTCATAGGTATCTTGATATTTTACAAAACATTATTTTCACAGAGTAAGTAGACTACATTTGTAAACACGATTTAATCGACAGAGCGAAACTCCCTCAACAGCGAAAATCGTAACGACCTCGAGCTTATGAACTCGTGTTGCACATGTGAGGTTGGTACGTCCGCATTCCATGCGTTTCCTATATGACCTTCTTGAGGTCGTTTGGTCTCATGTCACTGTCTTCCCGTGAGTCTATTTATGTCTATGAATTGGAAAGCTTTATTCCTGAAGTACGTCTGATTATACATTTCCCGGTAAAATCTCGATATCGGGTGTTGACATGTCATCGGCACGCACGTGTACTATTGTTTATCAGGGGCCTGTTCGTTTAGTCTGAGCAACCGGTTTGACCGTTTATAAATGTATCAATTTCGGGTATAAATCCTAGCGGACATGCAAATGTGTATGCAGGCCTTACAAGGCTTTCTCAGGGCTCGCCTGCAAGCAGCATCAGATTACTAGGTCCGACCTTATTTAATAAACGAACAACAGTTGTCCGATCGGTTGACCGGTTAAACGAAAACGGCCCAGGTGTTACTATAATGTGCACTACGATATTGAATGCCCGATACACAATACGGAAATGACGACACGGTGTACATGCACATTTCGATCAAGATAATTGAGAACGAGCTGTACTTTTTCCGGAAGTACGTCACGAAAATGGACGCTGATGACGATGTGTGGAGCCACCTTAAAAAGGTGACTGACAAATACATATCATTTTCTTTATCTTTACTTTCTATTCACAATCCAAAATGAAAAACAGATATTGTAAGAATTTTGCAGTAAAATCATATAACCTGATCATGTGTTGTAAAGCAAACTTCCTAAGCACATCTTCAATAATGGCTAACTGGACATCCCTGCCCATCATACGGGAAACTTGGTCAGCAATGACTGCTGAATTACAGGGAATATCCAAGCTTATGTCACAAAGCATCATGCGGACACGCTTCTCTGTCTCAGGATCAGCTTTCTGGGCTGTTTCGCTTTCCTTAGTGGGATCAGGTTTCAATGACAATTGGACAGGAGAACTTTCTTGAGCTTTAGCACTACTAGACTGGCCAGCAATCAGGGATGCCTTTGTTTCAGGCTTTGATGCAGCTGTAATAGATGAAAATGCTGTCAAAAACAATTATAGGTTAGAACACTTGTCCACTTTCCCATCTTTTCATTAAAAGTTATTATATTACAGTCATATCCAATGTTGATATCCAGTATTTTTAAAGGCTAAGACTTTCAATTGTATTTTAAAAAGCAGCTGATATGCCTTCCCTCTAGACAACAACTGTAAACCGGTTGGTTAATTTTATTCCTTGAAAGCCATAAAATGTCAATATCCATAGTTCACAATACCCAAAATATACCCTTAACCACTAAACAATATATAATGTTACAGCTAATTCATAGCATCATATTGTCACAAAATAACCACTTCCTTTTCTTATGTTTTACTCAGTTATTAAGGGTATTTACCAAAAAAGATTGTGTTACTCGGGACGAGTTCAAAAAAATAAAATTATACTAAATACTTATTAGACCAAGTGATCAAAAAGAGTATCGATAAATTATACACTTTTATAATCAGCACAATTATCCATTTGGTATATGTTTACATTAACTGAAATACTCTACCTACTGTAGGTCTACAGAATATCATCTGTTCACTTCTATCTGGATTGCATTATGGATTATGCATATTATAACATAATTTCTTCAACAATTTATACCTTATGGGTTTCCTCATGTAGAATTATTGGTGATATTTTGCATGCGATTGTGTTTTTCTTCCCAGAGCTAAAATAAAACCTAATAAATGACACCAAACATGCCAGACAATGAAATAGACCCTTCCGGGTAGTCTCCCCTTTTCAGCAGTGCGACGTTTGTGTATGTTACTACCAATTTGATAAACAATTATATTGAGAATACCTCACACGTGTTGTTACCACATATAAGAATAAATTCAACTTATGTGTTGGTCTAATACATCTTAAAGACTGTATGTATGAACCTGGCATTGATGTTGAGGTAGCCGGTTGCAAGGTCGGCGAAGTAATGCTTGTGATTTCCGCTTCTAAACCTTCACGCTGTTTTCTTCTGGCTGCCATTTTCGCACGGAGGTTGCCATGTCGACTTTTGGCAGCCTGGATATCGTTCGATGGGTCCGACATGTTGTTTTTATCATGAGACAACGCTACTCTTGCGTACTGCAATGTAGCGGCTGTAACTCCTTGTTCAATTTTCCACCGGAAGTTGAAAATTGTTTACTAATTACCGACAGGTACAATAGAGACCTACAAAGAACGCCAAATATAAAATCGTCCTATTTTTGGACACATTTTGGTAAAATAGTGTGTTCCAACAAAAGTTGGTTCATTGTATTATTAGTATAGCAGAAGTTGCCGATATATATTTTTTAAGTTTGTGTACATGTAGAAGAAGATCGACCAATGCCCATCAGAAAAAGCGTCAGGTGATCCCACTAGACAGAAAAAAACACTTACAAAAATAAAGCGTAAACAACGGCTATGGACTAGATACTTAAACATAAAAAGTGCAGAAACATACAATGAATATTGCCACATATGGAACCAAGTAAGAACAATGACTAGAAAGGCAACAAAATCTCACGAAAAACAAATCGCTATGGAAGTTAAAAACAACCCCAAAAAGTTCTGGAACTGTGTTCAATCTAAAACCAAAACACGAACCAAAGAATCAGATTTATATACCGGACAAGATCAGCAAGTCACAACAACCGACAAAGAAAAAGCTGAGGTGTTGGCCAATTTCTTCACATCAGTATTTACGAAGGAAACATAGGAGTGCATGCCCCAGATTGACCGTATAACAGATGAAACAATAGATAATATAATGATAAACCACAATATTGTATTCAAAACACTGGAAAAGCTCAAAACATTAAAGTCCCCAGGCCCAGACAACCTTCACCCGCGAGTGCTAAAGGAACTGAGCTCTGCTATTTGTCTGCCATTGTCAATTATCTTTAACACTTCAATACACAATGGAACCGTTCCCGAAGAATGGAGACAAGCAAGTGTCACCGCCATTTCCAAGAAGGGAGATCGTAAATCGGCCAGTAACTATAGACCCATCAGTTTAACGTGTATATGTTGCAAAGTATTAGAAACGATTGTAAGTGAAACAATAATCAAATACATGTACATGCATACCAATAAATTATTCAGCAAGAAACAATTTGGGTTTATCCAAGGAAGATCCACTGTATTACAATTATTTCAAGTAATTGACTATTGGATGAAAATTCTTGATGCAGGAGGATGCATTGATGTGCTGTACTGTGACTTTATGAAAGCATTTGACAAGGTCCCTCACCACCGACTTGTCCATAAAATGAGCATGTACGGATTTACGGGTAAAATCACGAGCTGGATTAAGGCCTATCGTCTAAATCGCAAACAACGCGTAACAATAAAAGGAGACACGCCATGTTGGAAGGAGGTGAGCAGTGGTATTCCACAAGGATCCGTCCTAGGACCAGTCCTATTTGTCCTGTACATAAATGACCTCCCGAATATAACAAGTACGGAAACCAACACATACCTTTTCGCAGATGACACAAAATTCTACCGTGCTATATTTAACACCCAGGATTGCGAGGGCCTACAGGAAGACCTGCTGAAAGCTCAATCTTGGAACAAAAAGTGGCTTCTATTTTTCCACCCAGACAAATGCAAAGCAATGCGAATTGGCAACAGTGATATTGACAACTTCACCTACAACCTAGATAATGGAAAGGAACTTCCCTATACAGAACATGAGAAAGATATTGGAGTCACCATTGACAATAAATTAGCATTTAATGTACATATATCTGAAAAAATCAACAAAGCCAACTCTATAATGGGTGTACAAAGGACTCGTGAGACCACATATATAGTATGCCAACCAAGTCTGGAGCCCCCATCTCATTAAACAGATAGAATCGATAGAAAATGTACAAAGGAGAGCTACCAAGCTAATACCCGGAATGGCTAATCTATCCTACCCCGAGAGACTTCAACGCCTGAAATTACCAACATTGGCATATCGAAGAGCCAGAGGAGACATGATAGAACTATATAAAATCATGACCAAGAAGTATGATCCCGAGGGGTCGACTTTCATCACACCTAACAAGAACACCACCACCACCACCACCACCACCATCAGAGGACACGAACTCAAATTATTCAAACAAAGAACGCGCCTGAATATCTGAAAACACTAATTCCTTCACCGAACCGTGGATATATGGAACGGCCTCTCATCGGAGGTCGTAATGTCACGAACAGTCCGAGCATTTGAACATAGCCTTGACCGTCATTGGAAGTCACACATACTAATGGTCATTGATTGAACTTTAACGAAAATATCACATTTGAACATTCAATTCACAATGTTACTGTAATATAATTACTTATCATTGAACATCTGTTCTCTATGAAACTGTGCAGCTCTCTGTAATGGACTCGCAAAACATACTTAGAAATCATGTTATTAATATGTTTAACCAACTATATGTACTATTGTAACTTTTATAATTGAGCTGACAACAGAGGAAATTGTACAATTTCCTACAGTTAGAATAAATCGGTGTATCTGTGTATCTGTGTATCAGTTTTTTGTTGTAGGTCTATTAGATATATTCTGACGTCACAATTGGTTTACTTTATCACAGCAAATAAAAGAGAATTCACTATAGTTAACACCGTGTCACGATTTTACGAATTATGACAAACATGCAACATTAAAAACACGTTACATTCAGCAAGAAATAACTTAACATAAAAGGCCATCATATGCTTCATTCAAAATAAGGACACACATATAAGAAAGTTTTTGTAAACTTACAACTGTCATTTTTCGCACACGGGTTCAAACCGAATACTATGTCCCGTCAAGTGGTGAAAATGTAGAAGAGCCTAAGACTTTTATGCCGAGAGGTGATGGATAGAGAAATTCCACCTAAGGGCCCGATGCTTGACGAGGGTTTTGCACCAATCCCTATCCTACAACACTGATATAAGGACCTCTACCCAAATAATTATGTTACGGTAGGTGTGTCGGTGGTGGTAATACACCTCATTATATAAGCCAAAATATTAATCAAAACTTAAAAAAATACTTCTTCCACAAGTAAAATGTCAAGTAATAGTTGGTCATCTATAATAAATTGTATTTCACTGCCATTTATATCATTTTATAGTTACATAATATATTCTATAATTTTATTATTGTTAAATATCCCCCATTTTAATATTAATATTGCTATTGAATGGTCTTATTTATAGCTAACTTCTATTGTAGAGTTTATAGTATTTGACAATTAATATCTTGAAGTTTCAAAAAATGAAAATGTCTTACATGTTTTGTTTAGTTTTTCCGTCTCCACGTAAATCTTTTATCTGGGTAACCTTCCCCTATATGAGTCAATAAGGGCTCATTCAACTATAAAAACGAGATAATATTCGTATAGCCATGTGTATCTATTGATGGACTTCAAATTATTAAAGACCCCCTGAAAGGATATTCTTTTCACTGTCATATCTTAATACAACTTTCGCAAGTCTGTATTTGAACCATAGTATATGCTTCTAAAATAAATAAGTTTTCACGTATAGTTAAATCTGATATAATTTATTTTCCTGCTGGGTCATATTATATATCAAATGTATACCTCTCTCGAATTAAAAACGTGATTACTGAATTTACTTTCATGAATACATTCAGCTTTTATCCTTTATAACATATAATATTATAATACAGGACGCAGGTAAATGCCTATATATACCCAGGTCATATGTATCGTCAGCTTCTAAGCTGGCTCTCCAACAGTGAGTTAGTTAATTATTGTCAAGTTCATGATTGTAAACACATTCTGGTTGTCCCCATTGCTTATCCAGCCGGGCTTCAAACGTTTTTATTGTTGGTGATCTGACAACGCTATTTGGATGAAAATTCTACTGGTTGAGCACTCTTTCTTTAAACGAGTACTTTCTTATGTTCAATTTAGGCATTTTTTTCAAGTCGAAGACTCTGACCTCTTGTTCGTTTGTCATCGTTTATATCTAAAACACTTCTTTCGTTACAGAAGCACCCCTGCAGGTCGGGGATCGAGAAAAAAATACACCTGCTATAATTGGGATTTGATTTTGTGCCCTTTACTTTTGGGACACAAAAGCGACCAAAATTCTGCTGCACACTTTGCAATACTTGGGATCTTTCTATTTCTCTTTACTTCTAACTACTTTTTATTTCTTTGCTTCGCAATACCTCACTTTTGAAATTAATGTTGAACGTTCGTCAAGGTGAGGAAGGCAGTATAATGTGACCAGGCGGAATGCTGTGCTTCGGCATAGTATATCAGAGAGATAGCACTATAAAGTCAGCATCAGATCCGCGCTATCACAAGAAGGCAAATACACCAACATACTTTGCCTCCGGCACACATACACGCATGCACGCATACACTATACACATGGAGGCACGTCCTTAAATGACCTAGTTGTTGATCGGATGTTAAACCCTGCACAACCAACAAACCGTTACATAAGTGTCATAGTATCAATGTATTAGCTTATAACTTGTATCATAATCATCTCCTTGGAATGTTTAAAGCTGGTGATATTAGAACCCTTAATGGTCTTTCATTCCCAGTTTCTATTTTGTGGCTCAATGTTATACATTTTTAATATTGTTAATGACCTTTTTTGGAATGGATTCCATATGCTAGCTCCGTACGTATTCTTAATGTTGTCTCATGAGCGCTTTATACAGGAGACAAACTATTGATGCGTTTAGATATGTATACTTTCTTCTAATTGTTCACATAATCCTGTTTGCTTTGTTGACCGATTCATGTATATGATAATTAAATTTAAGTTTGTTATCCGTGATTACTCTCATATCCTTTTCTTTGTTAACGTTTTTTTCAAAATGACTTTGATTCTTCCTTCATCGCAATTATATATGTAAAACATTGCCTAAGTCAGTATAGATTTTTCATCCACTGATATGTATTCATGTTAAAATATAAGAATATCTGTGAATAAATGAACCTTATTGTCTGGACTTGGCAGATTTTACCAGGGTCACTCATTAATTGTATTATTGTAGCGGTTTGTTTTAGTGCTGTAGATATATACTCCCCCCCCCTCTCCCCCCCCCTCCTCTCTATTCTTTCACTCGTAGTCTTCTTAATATATGCCAATCCTTCACTATATACATTCCCGAAAAAAACACTGCTACAATAATAAA